TTAACCCTTTGCGGACGAGGATTCCTTGAAATACGAATAACCTCCAGCAGATGAAGCTAAATTATATATTGATTGCTTAAATAATAGAGAAAAGAGGAAGCTGCGTACTCACCTCTTGCTGTTCGAGTAATTCAATCATTTGTTTGCGACTCAACACGTTCAGTACCACGTGTATCACGTGTGGTACACGTTAATTTTTGTAACAAAATATTTTCAAGGGACACATGGCCAAGAATAGCTGTATACGTTACAAAGCACCGAAAACATCAAGAAAATATCAAAATATATAAAATTAAAAAAAAGAATTGGAATATAACTTAATTTTTGAAACATGGGAATTTCATTCTGTCGAAGTGTCGACATCCGTCCGCAAAGGGTTAATAGGAAGACTCTGTCATTACAAACGGCGATCGCTCGAATCGAAGGAATTTCCTGTTGCTTGACAAGAACTTATCGATCCTGACTAACGTCACGGCCACGTCCGACCGGCGTTATCCTCGTCTAATCGCGTTTCATGAATTACGTGTAGAAAAATGCGATCGGCAGCCCTACCGTCGATCGATGTCGGGAATGAAACGCGCGGAGCGTCGCTCGCGGGACGTCGTCAATGGAAAGAAGCCTTGCCTCGCGTTCGTTCATCATCGGGATCGTCGTCGGCGGCCTCGTCGTGGAAAAAATGATCCGGTGAATGAGCACAGGCGACTTTTTTGCCCCGGTTCTTTTCACTTATCAGGTGAATCGGCGCACCGTGGGCGCCCACGGCGGGGGAAAGCCGCGTGTCGCGTCTCTCTCGTAAATGGCCGATCGACACGACACGTCGCGCGTGCCATTGGCAGTGAAAAACATTTATGGAAACGTGCTTCACCTTTTACGAGTGAAGCCACCGGATTACTTAATCCCTTCGGGGAGCGCAAACGGGGAAAAGAATGACGGGCGGAACGGCCTAGGTCATTGCCGGCGAGCCAGCGAGCGAGCGAACGCCTCGGGAAACGGGGATCGATGATTTGAAACTGGAACACGGCCGGAAATCACCGGCGATTTACTAGTCGATCCTCTCTATCGGCGGACCACCGCGACATCCGGGGAATATTAACACTAAAACTACCGAGCAGCAACATACACTTTTTGAAATTTTTCTATAGAAACTTCAAAACTGCATCTACCGAGACTTTAATTGATTTACAATTCACTTTGTGTATTGCTAAATCAGTTTCTTTAATAAATTCTCAGAGAATTTCTCAGAGAAGTCTGTTATCTTTTCAATAATTGCAAAAAGAAGAAATCAGGAGTGGATCGTTTTGACTCGTTTGGCAGTTTTAGTGTTAACACGTTGAATGCCGCACTTCAAGTACAAAATATTTGAAATGGAAAAAATATAATATTATATATTATATATTATAATATTAAATCATTTGAATGAATTGCATTGTTATTATTGCAGGTTCATCTAGCTGAATGTCACCACATTAGTTAGGATTATTTATAATATAGAAATGTTTTCAATATCGCGGTTTAATTGAGTGAACTATAATTCGATTTGGTTGGGGGTCATTCGTGAACCCCATGACATTCAACGTGTTAACCATAATCGGACCACAACGTAACTTTCAGTCATATTTGAACTTTTTACTTGAATTTTTCAATTACTTCATATTGCATTTCCAAAAGTTTTTTTGGACTTTTAAAATTTGGGCCCTATAAACAAAAATAATAACATTTTAATCATTCCTTTCATTCTCATAAGTGACTGATAGTTACATCGTAGTATGATTCGTTATAAAAACAGGTGCTGTGATTAGGGTTAATCGCGATTCGCGGGATTCTGAGTTCAAGTTCCTTTCTTCGTCTGTGAGGATTATTTCTGAAGCAGACTCGAGTTATCCGAGTGTAATTCTTGGGTTACTGGGACTGGAACTGTCGATTTATAGACCGATTGGCGCAACTTTCTAAAGTGTACCCGAAATCATTTATTAATTGCACGAAGAATGGAGAATAGGGAACTACCGGTGACATCGATAGTTTCGATGCGACGGATACATGGGACTGGAGATTTAAAATGACTCGGGAATAATTATAATACATCAGACTGATGTCGGATAAAAATGTTCGATAGTGTGGATAACTAGATAACGGTGAGAATTGCAGTAATTAATAATTGTTCCTTGTTGTCTTTGCTACGAAGGAATAGGTGATACGTAGAACTGATGTCTCCCGTGGTAGTTAATATGTTAATGTTACTAGTGTCACATACTTGCAATGATCTCGTGTTTCAAGGAAAACTGAACGATCCAAAGATTTCCATTGAAATCTATAACGGATGACTCTACGAATATCAACTGCTCTGCCACATTTCTCAACGCTAGGTTTAACCCTTTGCGGTTTGAAGTGCTCTTGGTTTCTCACTTCGAGGTTCACGTGGACGATAGTTCATTCAATTGCAGCTTAATATGACGCTCTATTTATTTATTCAAGAATATTTAGGAGTCATTGAAATGTTACCTTTAAATGGTACAATTGTGATACTACAAAGGAATATAGAAAAAATTGTTAAAACAGGTAGAGGTTGCAGTAAAATAGAATGTCGAGTCTGACTCGACATAGGACTGCAAAGGGTTAAGGAACTCGTCAATCCGACGCACATTGAATTTTACAAGCATTATTCATTAAACATTTACGTCGATATATATTGATTACACAACTACGTGTCCTCATTGTCTATTTTCCAACCCCTAACTTCCGAGATCTAACCAAACGAACATCAATAGCTCAAGGACCGACGGAACAAATTATAATAAATATCCAACGTTAAACATTCCATTGAAAGCACAACTCAGAAAGCGCTATTGCGCTGTTCGGATTCTTTTAACACATTGCGTGCGGGCCATTTTGTTAATTACAATTTGTATCAGTTACATTTCATTCATTTATTCATTATTGAATGTTTCCAAGAGCTTCCATTGCAAATAGAAATACTTTCAACTATACGCGAAAGGAATCAACTATCTACTGTATTTATTTATTTATTTATCTAATCTATTTAATATTCCTCGGCGGTACGTTACTTTTTCCGCGTACAATATGTTAACCAGTTAACTGTGTTTGACGAGTATACACGTCATCGTAAAGCTTGAGATGACACTAATTTTTGCAGTGATGAATTCTTTATTTTTCCGCATAAACATGTAATTCTTCTTTGTTTCGCTTTCATCTTTTATTAAAATATACTCTACGTGCATTCGTCCTACGCTCGACGAGTACACGCTCCATTTTTCGATTTTACCGCGCGCAGAACCAGAGGTTTTCCAACTATATTCCACAGATAAAACTGGTTAAAAATCTCTGGCATTCGAACGGTTAAAGTCGCGTGCCTCGAAGAGTTAAATCTTCCAGCAGCGAGACAATCCGAAAGACAGAAACAAGAGAATCCGCGAGACGCGGAGGCGTTGGCATTATCGGATCCATCCGGCGCGCGAACTTTAATAAGAGGGAAGGGAAGAGGAGAAGCCGGGGCTCGGCGTGGCCCGCGAACTTGACCCATTTCAGCCCGAAAGAAAAAGGGGGAAGAAAGCGGGCAAAAAGCCCGACGCGGAAGAAGGAAAGTCCGCGGCGCGCTGGCCTCTGTATAAAACGAAGGACAAAGCCGCGGGGAAGCGGACCGGTAACCAAGCGAAAAATAAAAGATTGTGACGGGGACACGGCGGAATGATAAATTCACGTTCACACGTGTTTTTTGTCCGGCCTCCACCTGCCCCGCTGGCCCCTCCAGCTCCACCTGATTCGATCCTAATCGACGATCTTACGTCACGGATGCAAAGTCACAACCGGTTTCAGACAGCGAACGGGGCCTTACGAACTGTTTACACGTAGCGTGCGTCAGCTCCGTGGGCCCAACCTCTCCTCCCGCCCCTCCGGCCGTTCCTCTATTATCCTCTTTCTCGGCCGCTCAGGTTCTGGACAGTCAAAGGTCTTCCCCGGCCTGTGCCGTGTTATCTAATAATAAACCTCCCGTCCGCGACAAGGTGAAATCATCTAGCGAATCCCCGGACCCGTGGCAGATACGGTTCACGCGATCCATCGATCTTTTCCTTGATCTTTGCATCGACCGCGATGAAACGTGAATAGCTGATTCGTAGCAGTGGAAACGGCTTGAAGAATTACTTCTGTGGGATCGGTTGTCTTTAGTTTCGTTGGAACGGTGTTGATTGATATGCTTCTAATAGGGGTGGTTTTTTCTCGATAGGTTGTTCAAGCGAGATTCAATCTTGTTCTATTAAGTACGCGTTTCGTTAACTTTCGCTGGAGTCGTTCGTAATGATATATTATTATGAGATCAGAGTTTCTGTGGCGTCCTCGACTAATATAAAACGCTGCGTTGAACTATCTTTCACGCGGGTAATACTAACGCGAGAGTAGAATCGAGAACACTCCGAGTCCCGAAGGTTTTTTGCTTTCGAAAGCCAGCGAGAAAGCAAATAGGAATTAAGAAGATGAATATGAAATTTATAATATTCAATATTTCACATATGTATTATAAACATTATATACATAGGACGATAATTTTCGAATCAGAAACAGTCACCTGTGGGTCACCTCTCGAGTCCAAAGGGTCAATAAATTATTTTAACCTTCGCATACTCGGATCCTTCAAGGAATCCCCTCGCAGCTACAAGCCAGAAGCAAGAGAAATAAAATTCCCACCCCTCCCGCTGGAAAATAGAAAAAGCCCCGGCCGTTCCGCGTCGCCGTTCGCCTCTGTTATTTCAATATCCGCGAATGGCCGCGCTATCGAGTATTGAGTGTCAATATTTGCGCGGCGCTCGACGTTTATTCAACGGCCGAAACGGTTCTCCGGCGAGTAGCGCGGCCGGAGGAGAAGGGAAAGGTCGAAGAAGGGTGGGCCGGGGGTTGAGCGCGTATAATTACGCGGCTCCTCCTGGCGAGCGCGAATTTTCGAGCAATTAAGCCGGTACGGAATTAAGCAAGGAGACACGGAAACTCACCCTTCTGCAGCTGGCCGTGGTCCGCGTTCATTTTCGCCTGCAACAGAAAGTGCTGCGCTTCACTAAGTAGAATTAGCACGGGCCCGCGAAAATTCCGGCGATTCGGTTAAAATATGTGTGACCGGCTGGCTCACCTCGTAACCTTGTTTCGCGCCCCGTCCGCCGCTCCAGTAGTCGCTCTCCTTGTCGTGGGGGTTGCATTGCTGGAACAGAAAGCGCGGTAGCGCACCGTTAACCTTCACGGGCGTTTCGTTAAAAGTCGGGCCCGGTTCTTTCGGAAATGCCGGATCGTTGCGTGCCGAAACTAATTCGGAAGTTCCCTGGGGGGTTCCGGCAATTGTGATATACTTTGCGTCGAAAGAGACAGGATTGGTACGAGGATAGTTCGGGAAACGGGGGATGGTTAAATTTGATGTTTCAATTCTTCACGGACATCCGTCGGGTTTTGTTTAATCAAAGTTGAACGGGATTAATGGAACTCCGTGGATAGAACAGTTTTAGATGACCTACGACGGATAGATCTGGAATTAGGAAGGAATGAAATCTCGGGTTCATAAATATTTCAGAAAATTGGGAGCGTCTTTCGCTGTTGGAACTTTCATTCAGGCAAACTCGATTTCAGCTAACAACACTTACAGGAACTCGTACAAGATTCACGGCGATTAAGTAATCGTTGCAGAAACATCGCGTAAACAGTGATTATTCGAGAACCGTTGGTCTTTCGCCAGCTAGATTTTTATTAGCGACAACGCGTACCTTGAAAACCTACGAGGGGTGGCTCGATAATTGGCGAGCACCGTGCGGCGCAAGGGGCTGTAGGTGAGAGGCCGAGGGTCGGCAAGGTGGTGGAGTGTGATACACCGAGGGAGGCAGTCGAAGTGGTGGGCGGCGAAGGCGGCGAAGAGGGTCGCGGATGGTAAAACGGGGGTGGCGAGAGGGTGGACGGAGGCGCTGTCTAGACACAACAGAGACAAGGGTAGCGGACCTGGCCTCTGACCTTGGGCATCACTCGGCCTTCTGCGAAGATAAACAATCCCAACCCCTGAACGGTGTTTCCCTGGCGTAACTTGTTACGCGGACACGGGGGTGGATAGGTCGCGTGGGAGTAATGCCTGAGGGTCGAAGGATACGCCGAGGACACCGAGGACGAGCTCGAATTTCATCGGAATATTTAATAAATACCCCTACGATCTCGACGAATCGTCAACCCTGCAGAAAAAACCAAATGGAATTTCCATCGAAGAAAATGAAACTGGTCCTCTGGAAATTCGATCGACTCCGAAGGCAGTTAAATATCGAATCTCCTAAATCTTGACGCAGCCCGTCCCACGAGGGAGTTCCCGAAATCATTCAAATTTGTTCCCAGTAAATCATTCGGCGCTAATTGCGACACCGTGGAAAATTCTACCTAATCTCCCCCGACCGTGTTCCCACACCGTTAAACGCGTCCATCCCTCGACTAAGGGAACGCAGGGTTTTAAACGACGGGTAGAACAGGACCTGCAGGACACCGAGAATACCAGGGATGACCTCGTTTCCCTTCTCATGACCTCCTAAACCGCAGATGACCCGCCGCCACCCTGCAACACGAACGATCTTGTGGGTGGTCACGTATCCAGCCCGAAGGACTCGGAATGTGATCCGTAAGGGAAGAGCCGGGGGCGGTTTATTTTCAACTTGTCTCGGAGCCAACGGCTGGAAAATTTATAGCGCGGATAAAAAATGTCTGCCGAAGAGGAATGAAAGACGATAAGCTGAGGTAATGCTTCATTCCGAGGGAACGTTTGTTCGTCTCCGCTCGGCGGGGAATGTTTCACGGGCTCCTTAATTGGCGAAATGTCAAAAGCCGAGGTAAAAAAAAAATTCGAAGGAACTGGAGTAACCAGGAATTTCTCGTCGGTTCGTGGGTTTTCGAGACGATTGAACGATCGCCCCAGTTCCAACGCGAAAGGGAATCGATATTACGGCCACTTCGCGGGCCAAATTTTACGCCCCCGTAAATCTGAGGGTGTAGGGCCGACCTAGAAACCGAACGAAGGGACACCATAAGGCGTCGAAAGGGCGATACTCTCGTCTGTCGCTCTACAGGTGGCTCGTGAAACGATCCGATTCTTGCGAGAAACTCCGGGAACGCGAAGGGATATGCATTTTTGGGGGCGAGGGTGGTCAAGCGCGCCTTAACGCGAAGGGTAGCGAACCCTCCGACGACGACGACTCGGAGAATGCTTTTCGGGTGTTGCGTGCTGTTCGAGGGTAATTTCGGGGAAACATTTTCGAGCGAGACATTTTCCCAACGGAATCCTCCTCCTTGAATTAAACCTTCGAAGGGAAACGTTACAGTATTGTTGACGTAAAAATATAGAACATACAGTTGCAGAATTAATTATTCAAGGGGATCAACGCATAGATTCTCTTCTCTATTATTGAAGAGTTGAATGCATAAGATTGTAAGTATTTGAAGAAGTTTTCAAAGAGTTAAGGGTTGTCTTCGAATCAAGTATCAAACCCATCGACACGATGAAGCATTTATCTTCATTAGTCCTAGATTCGGAAATTTATGATCTCCGCTCGAGTAATTACTCAAAGTAGTATTCTCATGATTAATGGCGACTTTCGCCTCGATCCAAAAATAAAAATCAGGCTAGAGGGTTTCTGGGGGATGGGTCGAGGGACGTGAGACATCTCGAGCATCACCGGAAGCGACGACGTCCACGGTTCTATTTTAAAGTCGGACCAGCGCAGGGGACTCAGGTGGAGAGCACCTAGCCGGGGGGAATCGTTTTTTGAGCAGGAAGGGACTGGATCATCCCTTAAATCCGCCACGGCTGCCGACATATGGCGGCGCGATCGGCCACGTGACGCTTAAAATTGGATTCCCAAATGAAGAAAACGGGAATAATTAAAGCGTTTCGATCGCGCGAGCCTCGCGGGCCGCGTCTAATGTCATCCCCTGACATTTCTCTGACATTTACGATAAGGGTTGTCGACCGAGACGCAACCCTCGACCGATCCCGATCGAATCTCGGCGTTGCAGGTCGGCGCTGCGGTCCGAGAGCCGACATCTTCCGATAATTTTCACGCTTTTCATCAAGGGGGCACAGAAGAATCGGCGAGGAGAACCCTTTCCACCCCATTTGCCATTACCGCCACCCCCCGATCAATTTACCCAGATCCAGGCTCGAACGAACGCGGACACGGGTCTTCGAAAAATTCAAGTCGATAATTTCTATCTAGCCGGAAAACTCCGTAGTGGGGGTGTTAGCCGGCTCTGTCCGATCCAACCCTTACGTCCAGGCGAATACACGCACACCGGCTTGCGCGCCGACATCTGCATACACTCTTGTGTGTACACATGCAAACACACGTGCACACACATGCACAGACACACGTACACACATGGGCGAACGGTTAGAGAGGGGTAGGTGGAAAAAGCGAAAAGGAGGGAAAAAAATGGAAAAACGTGCTCCACGATCCCTGGATTGGTAATCCAACCTACCACGAGCAGCTCGAAGCGAAGATAAAGAAGGGAAGAGAAAAAAAAATACATTTTAGCTCGCATCCAGGCGCTGCAGCCACCCTCTCCGCCTCCTTCCACAACCTCCCTCGTCCTCCTCTCTGCCTCCGCCCTCGCCCGGGGTTCCCCTGTCTCTGTCTATTCCGTATGTCGGTGTAGGTGGTCGGGCCGATAGTCGAGAGAGCGTCCCGATAGCAAAAGGACGCCTACGCCCGGCGTCGGAGGGTGGCCGGGGAAAAAAATCACAAGGATAGGTGGGCGCGTGGAGGGGCTGGTGCGGAGGGGCCGGCGGAGAGAAACAGAGAGCGAGACGAAGGAGGCGGAAGGGGTGGAAAGGGGGGCAGAAGCGTAGAT